ACAAATACGACCCCTCGTTCGAATGTTGCGAACGCACTGTTGACCCTGATTCAAACTCGGTGAAATCAGGTCGGGAAAGTCTAGTTTTTCGCGAACACGACGTTTAGAACATTGAACGGAAGGCGATGCCTCGGCATTCTTGCTACCATTACCCTTCTCTTTCTCTTCGCCATTGAGTCTGCACCAAACTGTAGCGAACGGAGATTGAAGTAGAAGTCTCAGAAGGGCTAACTCAATAACCCCATGCGAGGCTTATTTTTTAGACTGGTCGATACCTTGTGTCTCGACAAAGGCTTACGAAAATTGATTTCTGTTTGCCTGATCATTTGGCGTCAACGAGGCTGGCGATTACTGATTGCGTTAAAACTAGCTGCACATGTTTTTGCCATTGTCAAAAACCATTCGACAGCCTTTGAACGCTTTTCGTGCTCGTCAAGAGGAGCCAACCGCCTGGCGACTTTACAGCGAACTTTTCTTTTACCCATCTCTCAAGACAATTGGTACAGTGCTTCTTGGAGTGCATACTCCTCCTCCAAGCTGCATAACTGGCGATTATTTCATTCATATTTGGTATTGGTTGTGTCTAGTTTACCGCCTTTATTGCAAATAATACCTCAGTCTCCTTCTCGAGGTTTTTCTACGTATGGATCGTGCCTTCAGCATATTTTCTTTTATGTATTTTTCGCTCAGTTTCTTTGTTTTTCCCTGGAATCGGAATATGGGTGTATGATTTTTGACCGTTTCTCAGCGACTGAACAAGTAAAAGCTCAGCGCTTGCTTGGTATCTCTGTAGATAGTTTTTGTACAAAAATGCTTCGTCTTCTGGAACCCTTCCGGTGAGTTTTTTTAATACTTCGCTTTTTTGATCGCGAGCTATTTGGGGATAGCATAGAAAACAGTCGTTCCCTGCTCTTTAATATTCCTTCTGAGTATAAATGGGCGCTATCGCAACACACGGGCATCCTCCAGGCCTAAGCCTAGGAGAGGCAGGAGCTCCGGGGAAAATGAAAGTGGCCATACCTTGGAGTCTCTCCACCGCTGCCTAAAATTCAATCCCGAACGACACGTCTTACGGTCTTTTAAATACACTGCCACCACAATGCCCCCGTATATTGCATAGTGCCTATAAATGCAGTGCACCAACTGGTTGACCTCTTCCAATTCTTTCGATTATCTGTAATGCCACAGAAAGGGAAACTCACACACTGCATCCAATTCTCGATTTTTCTAACAACATGCCACCTAGACCAATCTGTCGCGGGGCGGATTGGCGCTACACCTAGTCGAAAAGTAAAAGACAAACTAGTGGTCCACGTCGGGGGATAGAAAAAACTAGAAAAAATCCTTACTAAATCTTATGAGGACATGTGTCTCTTACGGGGCCGGATTCAATCCTACCCCAAGGGTTCAGGGCAGAAATCCTTCATATTTGTCTTCTTAACTGGATTTTTCCTGATAAAGGGCCTACATTAAACGTAAGTATGTAGGTCAAAGTATTGGGTTGTCTCATAATTCCTTGTCGCAATTTCGACACTTTTGTTTATCCAAGTTTTATCTCTTCTAGGAAACAACTGATCAATGACATAACCACCATCATGGTCACTGATATGCGTGCATTTGCTAGTGAGCGTTTGGAAGCTTCCAGCCCAGAATGAAGGAAGCTGGGGGTTGAAGAATTTGGAGAAGTCGTTTTTGGGGTGGTCGCAATCAAGGCAGGTGGTATTCAGGGCGCAGGTGAGATGGTAGTCCGACAGAGCGATGCCAATGCTATATGGAGGATGAGGTATCGTGGCCCTGGCTATCTCTCACACGGAGGTGGTGAGTTGGCATTGCAATGTAAGGTCTCGCACATTCGGAGAAAGGAGTTCAACTTACTAACGTATTTCGCAATGGAACGGTCTTAGACGGAAGGAATTTGAAATTGAACAGAAATGCGACAGAAATAATGGAGAGCAGCCCAATAAACAGGACTGAAAAGAAGAAACTAGGTTGTTGAATCAATAAATTCTCCCCAAAGAGATTTGCGTTCCCCAACTCTTGGCGGAGGAGTCTGACTCTGGCCGGCACGTAGGAGAACACAGATGTGCTAGCCATTATCTATGAAAGAAAGTTCAAGCGAATGTGCAATCTTGTGGTTTGGCGTCCCAATTAGGCCTATGTCGACAGTAGACGCGCAGCACTTCGGATTATGTTTTAGCCATGCCAAAAATATCCGATGTTGACCGTCAGTTCAACTGCAAAAATATGCGAGGGTCGACATCGTATAGCTTCAAAGAAGTTCCAAGCTTCTTGACCACCTCCAACCTCTCACCTAATTTCTACTCTTGCAAAATGCGTCTCTCTTAATAAGCGATGTGCTTCAATTATAATGCGACAAAATGGTAATGAAGGAGCCGTTAGGAGTTTCAAGGAAATATGCCATGATAGTCAGTCTATAAAGGTCTTCCTGTTGAACGTTGCCCGTGTTGCTTTTCGAATCTGGCGCTTCTGAATCAATACCTACCGCTGGGCACGTAGAGCTACCTAAATGAGCGACTGTTTTCAATACAGCCCTCTTATAAGTACATACATGGTCCTGTTTGCACAGTGATTGGTGGTATTCTGTTCAGCAAGTGTGCCCAATCTCGTGCTATTCACTCATCAGTTGTCACCTTTATGGATGAGCATGAGCCCGATTTGAGCGATCCGAAAAAAATGGCACTTCATAAACTATACCGGCCGGAGAGGCTTACTCCACATGAGAAAGGATATCAACTTCTCAACAATCCCCGCTTAACCAAGGTAAGCGTTATAGTTCGTACCTTAGCTAGAGGTTAGTTACAAGATTTGCTCCTCCGATAGGGTACAGAATAATGACATCGCCACCAGTCGTTTCGTGGCCTGGGAAAGGGAGATTTCGCTAATAACCGTGGAGAGTTAAGCGGTGTTAATAGATGGCTCTAAAATTGTAGCCTACCCAAGGGGAATGAAAATTTTTTAGTGTTCTACAAAATTCTGTTTAGAAAGGTGTGCAATAAGCGGCCTAATTTTTATTTTTGTTCTGATTTTTATTGTATCTATCTACTTATCTATTCCTGACAGTCATAACCTGTAAGAGTAGCCAAAAAACAGCGCAGGAAGTAAAACCAAATTTAGAAAAGAAAAAAAGCGAAACCGAAACAGGAAAAAGGTGCCTCGCCAAGCACGAATTGATCCTCTCTTCTTGTGTATGTGTTCTGTTCTTCTTTAACAGTAACTAAAAATTGTTTTTTTAGGGCATGGCATTTTCGCTATTTGAACGGCAATACCTCGGTCTTCATGGGCTTTTGCCCCCTGCCTTCATGAATCAAGAACAACAGGTGTATCGTACAATGAAAAGAATACGATCGCAACCAGACAACCTGACAAAGTTCGTAACAGTTTTCAGTTGAAAATTTACGCCTAAATTATAGTTGTGCTTCTTCTCATCCCACGACCAGGAAATGGACTGTTCAAAAGCGAACTCTCTTTACTGCTTATTTTCTCCCGACTGCAGTTAGTTGTCGTTTAATGGTATATTTATCCTAGGAGAAACGCAAATGGCGCAATGAAAAGCTGTTTACGAACTTTTTAAAGTTGAAAATATCAGGAACTGCTGCCACCTACAGTCGGTTTGGCCTGCCAGACATTCGGACACATTTATCGGCACCCTAAGTAAGTCCATTCTACTATTTCACTGCTACTCTTTCGCTTTATAGATCTAAATGCGTTGACTCTGGTATACGCCATGCATCCGATCGGTGCCATGCCATTGTGATTCGGTATCAAATGTGCGTCTAGTCCAATAAGGCATAAGGGCAAGGGATTTGTTTTGTGATTGTGATGGAGGTTGTATTTATTCGGCGAAGAGTCGTATGCTAGGAAAAATCGTGAATTTATTCTTTTTTCTCTCTCTGGGAAGAACTTTCCGCAAAGCAGGAAGAAAACGGACGGATCGGAAAAAGTTCTGAAAACAATTCTTTCTTCACACATACCTACAAAACTATGAAAACTCTTCAAATTTGCGGATTTGAGTTTGGAAGAGATTTATGTCGGTTCTATCGGCACCTCCAACCAACGGGAGTGGAAAAGCCAGCCCGAAAATTTGTAGAAAAAATCGAAATCGTTTCATCTCAGCGGTTGAGCTTGATTTAACGTGACTGTCGTGACATTTATACGCGTGTTTGCCATATAAATAATACAATGGCTTGCAAACGGCAATCGAGGCTCTTCCCACAAATCTGTTTTTAATAAGCGAACCCAGAAGTGGTTGAAGTTTGAAACCGGGTTGGGATTTGAAGGTTCCTGGATAAAATTGATGCAGTTCTTGCACAATAATACAGTTCCCCTAACCTCAAACTTCAGCTACTTCAGGGTTTGCTTATTAAAAATAATCCCTTAACCTAAGCGTTTTCGAAACCCAGAAATGGGCCGACAATAAAGAAAAAAGGAAAGAATCTGTCGAAACGCTTAGGTTAAGGTAACAACTAAACTTATGAACAACTTCCAACTATCGGCTGTGCTAAGGCAATAAGAGACTAAGCGCAGAGAGGGGAGTATGAGGCGAGAGAGTGCACAGATGAGAGGGCGCCAGACAACAGCCTGATAACGAAAATATGCAGCTGCTGCAGCATGCTTTGCAAGGCTCTTGATTTCTGTGCACGATCCGTGATTGTCCTTTGGAGGTCCATCTAGAGACAAAAAAGAATCGTTCCCACGACCTCTGCCTGGGTTGTGCCTTTAACGATAAGAGAATGCATATGCTACTGAAACCTATTGTAACCAAGAAATGTGACAAAACACTTTTCAGAGGAATCTACATAACTGTCAATGACAACAGCATCAGTAAAATTTATAAAATTCTATGCAATTGGCCAGTATCGAATGTGCAGGTAAGTGTGTAGGTCAAGGTGACATGTAAGAAACCAGATGGACCTTGATTTTTTTTCATTGAATTGATAAAATTATATTTCATTGTGTATCTGTGTAGTTAATCTAACCTAACGGGCGAGATCTCT